AAGCATTTTCAAGATACACCTTATCACACCAATTATCCCCGACTCGTAACCAACAAATAAACACCATAGCAGACTGATCATCAGCCTCTAAAACTGGCCTACCCTTAAGCTCTCTAGTCAATATCTTCCCAGCCTCCTCCCTAATTTTCCCTTCTGGCCCCATTGGTGCCCAGACGTCAAGAATGTCCAGAGACAATTGACAATTCCTAAGCAAAAAAACTACCGGTGTTCAATTCAATCCAATTCTTCCGATCATACACCATCTCATTCCACCCATGCATCACAAAGTTATGATCTTTATACCTCTCCCATGGCACCTCAAATGTCATATCTGTAAACATGGCCATCACTATCCATCCACCACAGAAACTCCACCTCTGGATGCATCAACAAAAGCTTCCTAATCAATGGCAATTTAGCCCAGAATCCAGCCATTTCAGCATCAAGCAAAAGCAAAATTGTAAAAGATCTCAATCCCATGTAACCTACAATAATCAATCTTGTGCTTTATCGATTTCAATAGATAATGATCTCCCACTGGGTTTTCACACGGTTTTGGCGATGACCCAGTAACCAAACAACACCCTAGGCTTATTGGGTGCAATGAAATTCGGAAAATTCGAGTTTTTCTTCAACCATTCAACCCTTTGCTCATCCCAAACAGAGATTTTAGGTCCCAGACTATAGGGCTTGTTTGGATCTCGTGTTTGATCACCTTCTTCCTCATCAACCAGAAAATATTTACTTATGTTCTGGCGTATGTCAACTCACTTGAACCTTTAACTAGTAGTGCTTCTGAAGTCTCCTAAGTTGATGCAAATTCAAAACACCTGAGTTAAATTGTTGACTTGCCAAAAATTTCTCAAATTCATTCCTCTATACTCCCAAAAAAAGAAAAAGGAACAGACGTTAAAAAGGAACACAATTCATCCCTTACTACCAAACTAGCAAGTCAAAAGAGCACCACTAATGCATTAACTGGCAAAAATCAGCACTGGCATGAACAAAACTTTTCAAGCTAACCAGCAATCGAGAATATCCAACATAAACATCAATCGAAAAAGTATTAGTAGCAGAAAGATTTTCACAAATTTTCATCATTGCTAGCCTTGATTTTTGAAATGGCTTTGAAGTTCAAAGTTTTCTAGTGCTAACCCACAAAAACAAGACCTTCTTAACCCATAAAGACTATATTTTATTTAACTGAATCATAGAAAATATTCCCAAAGAACACATTTTTGAACATAATCATATTTAATTCAATCATAGGACTTAAACAAGTGATAACTGTTATAAATTACAAAGACAAACAATTAGCAATTGATTGGAAGAGTATGAAACCAAGAATCAAATAGTATAACAAAGTAAGGAAATTTCTCTTTTTTTTCACTGGTATTTTGACAAACACCTTGTCTGCATTGTAAAGCATTTCACTAGGTCTCCTGTGACTCATAATTTGCCAATCAACAGTGAATAATTATAGATCAACTGCATTGAGGAATTAACTGAGATTGGTGGAAAGGTCAGGTCGATCTAGTGCTGGTCATCGATATGGTCCCTTGCATCACAAAGAGATGAGAAAGAGGCAGAGAATGGAGGTACTGCCATAGTTCCGGTGAGGGAGGAGTAGTCATAGAGGTGATACAAGCACAGAGAGAGAGAGATTAACAAAGGAAAAAGAAATGGCATTGTTTTTTTTTTTAAAAAAAAAAATCTAAACATTAACTGAACATAAGTATAGCAGAAAGTGCAAATTGAAATGACGCCCAAAAACTAAAGATCAAATGAGAAATAATATACAGGAACCAAAAAAGAAGGGAGAATCACAGCACTGTTCACAAAACCTATTACAAAGGCTAAAGCCACAGGCATGCCTATATCATGGCACAAAAATTTATCTCTAGCATGCTAGCAATGTACATACCAGTGATGATTTCCAAAGCCGTCCTGTATAGAAATGACACACATCCCAAGGCCCCGATAAAGAGTCACCTTGAAGCAAAATATAATTTCCCTAGAACATGGCTCAGAAACCATTAACTCGTTTTGGAACACCACCATATCTTCCAGGTGTGGCATTGCCACTTCCATAAGCTGGAGGAACATTACTACCAGGACAATCTCTCGCCCAATGCCCAAATTGATTGCATTTGAAACACTCACCAGATGCACCACCACTAGCACCTCCCCCCGAGGACCCCCTATTGCTGAAGCTACCTCCATATGACTGTCCCTGACCATTCATAACACTCGGGCAATTTGTAGAGCTATGGCCAGTACCACCGCAACTGTTACAGCTTAAATACATGCTAGTAGAACTAGTAGCACCAAGCTTAGAGCCACTATATTGGTTCCCATATTGACCCACCTGATTTGCGGGTGTAGCAATCTCTCGACCAAAGTGCTAGTAGTTCCCATATAATTCACATTCGGTGGTGCAGATCTCTAAATCCAACATTCCCAAGCCCACCACTATTTTGTCCGGTGCTTGGAAAGGCGTTTTCTACCTTTGGGGCTAGAAAAATCGAGTCTTCTTCGTTAAGCTTATTCACCAAATCCAGAAGAAACCTAGTCTCTGACGAGAAATTTACGTTCTCCACTTTGACTACAGTTGACTTTACACGTTGTTCATCACTAAATGTCTCCTCCTTCACTTTCAACTTGAATATATATTTCATAAAAAGAACCTTACGTACAATTTCTGCAAATCGCTCATCATCTTGCTCTTCATATTTCAAGTAATATAAATCTTTTGCAGATATACCCATGATCTCCTCACCAGATTCCTGAAATGCAGTTACCCATGTCAAGCCAGTGTGATCCTGTATCTGGAACTGGAGAATATACCTATAATCACATTCATCAACGGTCTGGTCACACCTATCACATCGCCACTTACCATCTCCATTATTTGTAACCTTCTTGTTGCACTGCCGATCTCCAATCATGATGGGACATGCTGTGTAGCAAAAATTGTCCATTTTCAAGAATGAAAGAGTGGCACTGACTGTGATCCAATCTGGCTTCTCAGAAGTCCCTAGCCGTTCATCTTTGATTTGAGATATAGTCTTTCGGACATCTGTGCGGACCATACTTGTTTCCCTGGAAATAGATACAGAAGGAGTGTTCTTCCCATCCTTGTCAAACCATGCCTTCAGTCTGTGAGCCTCTGGAAAATCTGGTTCTATTAACAGCTGGCTTGTGGATATGGTCCCCACTGCTTTCCCGTTGAAATCATTAACTCTACCAGATTTCACAGCCAGGACAGGAAATACCCCAGAATCACATATGTTTTGAAGTGTATGTCCTTCTGCATTGCAGAAATTTCCCCATAAAGTTAATTCAACACTTCGGCCAGACATATCCTTCAACTGGAGGGCTCGTCTCTGAGTTTCAGTGCCATTTTTTCTCATTATTGAAGAAGACGGAGAGATTGAAGAGACCACTCCAATCACGTCCACAACACTGTTGTTCTCCATGCCTTCGATGTCACTTATGGAGCGAAAATGAAATTGCTGCTGTGGGATTGAGCTGTCATCCTCAGAGCAAGGCTCCACTGTTGATGTACTTTCCAGGAAAATTTCATGATCATTACGAAGGTGATTGAAAGCTTTCTGAGCAGGTTTCAGGCTCCCCTTGGAGATCATATACACTTTACCAGACTCAATCTGGTGGTAGAATTGGTCAGCCACAGCATTAAAACAGGTTACCCTTATTTCTCCACCATCAGAATCAAGAAGGTCAAAAGAAAATACTTTACCATCACCTCGAGGATTGTTGTAGAGCCTAAGTTCACCCTTTGCTGTCACTCTGGCCTTAATAGTCCACCGACCCTGATATGGATTCAGAGCAGCAATTGGAATAATCCTTGGAGGCGCTTCATTTTTAGCTATAGGTCCCCTGTTCATGAACATTGGAGATGGCTGCTGATATGCTGGCTGAGGTGGGCGTACATAACTATTCGAAGGCACCCGTAAAGGCCCAACACCATATTCTGTTTTGGAGTACACAGAGGGTGGTGCATTTATGGAATTAAAGCGTCCAGACTCAGGATTGCTGGCAAAAGAGTTGCCATAACTATGTGAACCTGCACTGCGATTCATCTCAGGAGGGTGCATACTTGCGCCTCCAGCTACATTTGGTCGAGGAAACGAACCACCAGCAAGTGAACCAGGGTTACCAGCAACTGTCCCTGGCTGATTCATGGAAGACTGAACTGGTGCGGATGATCTTTCCATTGCAGGAGAAACACCATCAGTCTTGAGCGGGTATTGTTTTGGATTACCAATAGGATCACACTTTTCAAGTATCACCTCCAAATCAATGATGATGATAATCCTGCTCAAAATGAATAACAAAACTCAGCCATCATTTGTAGTACCAAAAAAGAACGCATGGAATATTAACTATAAGAAAGGAAACACAAAAGGCTATCAACCACATTTGTCAACAAGTCATAACAGCATATCACCTAGAGTTTTTATCTCAATCCAGTGTTATTTAAGGCGTAAAGCGACCAAGGCTCCTAACGCCTAGGCAAGAAGCGAGAAGTGAAGCGACACGCTTTATCGAAGCAAAGTGAACAATTAAAAAAAATATATATTTTAGTTTAATTACGTCTAAACAATCTAAGTTCTAATTTTATATATACTAAATATTTAAATGCAAGTAAAACCATAAACATTTAAATTAAAACAAACATTAATAATATCTCAAATCTTAATATCAGTCATAACTTAAACATTTAAATTCAAACAAATACTAACAATTGTATACATTTTCATATTGACTAGGTAGGATAACAAAAGAAGCAGAATCAGGACAGCAGCAGAATCAACAACAAAAAAAGAAGAAGCAGAATGAGGATAAAAAAAAACAGAAGCAGCACAGGACAGCAAAACCGAAGCAGCAACAGAGTTAACAAAAAAAAATAGAAGTAAAATGAGCTAAAAAAAAAAAACATAAGCACAATGATCATGACAGGAGCAGAATCAATTGTAAACAATTTCATATGTAATTATGTACTGAATAAAAAAAGCAGAACAGAGGCACATTTAACATGTACTAAAATAATTAAACATGGTATAAGCATAGACCACTTTTTGGTACCATTTGTATATATATAAGAAAAGGGAAAAGTATAACCAAGACATATCAGAGACACTTCCTTGTAGAAGACTCTATTATTTACCCTCATTCTTGATACTTTTGCTTCCTTTCTTTATCATAATTTTGTCATGCAGTCGCCTGACTCCCACATCCCACAAATATTCTAAATGAATTTAGCAACACAAGAAAAAAAAAGGAATGTGTTTTGTTCGAAACAATGTTTATTAGAAAAAAAAAATAGACCAGCAATAGTTTTAAAAAAAAAATCATTAGTGATTAAAAAATAAAAGAGACTACTAACCTGTAATCAAAAAAAAAAAAAAAAAAGAGGAAAGCAGAATTGCCTCTTATAAAAAAACGTTCGCTTTTTTGCTTTTTTCGCTTCTTCGCTTTTTCGCTTTTTCGAGCTTTTTTCTTGCTTCGCCAGGGGTCCTCCAGGCGATATAAGCTCGCCTAAGCAAGCTTTTCAAAACACTGTCTCAATCCACCCAGAATCTTGCCACAACTATGTATAGAATCAACGATTGAATCATTTTTCACAACTATGTTAAATGACAATTTATCAGTCTTCATGCTTGTCTCAACCTACATTATTTTCCACTTTCCTCTCCCTCTAGTGGTATCTTTTAGCAGTATCACATCTCGAAAGGATAATTAGTATCCCATCACCTTTCCTCTGGTGAAGTCGTAGAACTTCTCTAAATATGTTTGAAATATCTTAGTCAATTCTTTTGCAAGTTAATCTTCTACTAGTGTTATTTGGATCATTTCAGATGTATCTCATTCCTTTTTAGCACAAATCCATATTAGCACATGCATTTCATGAATAATTAAGTATTGAATATGGTGTTACAATTTCTTAGTTGCCAACACTTGGATACCATAAAACATGGTTGATCTTATGCCTGACTATGGAAAAAAGACAGATGCTATGAAGCACCGACACAAATATGAGATGTAGACATGACATGACACATGTTGACACCACAAATCCTTAAAAAAAAGAAAGGCACAGACACACACGACTAGGACATACTACAACAATCAAAAGTTGTATAATTTATCAATATGAACATAATTATACCTACATAATGTAAGAAAATGATTAATTTGCTATGAGAAATCTTATGTTCACCACTCCAGCATTTCTAGACAAACATGCACTAAAAACATGTAGCAAGCATATAGAATCATAATAGTTACTCCCATCCTCTCAAGACTTCTTATTTAGCAAAACACTTATGGGTCTTCTCAGTGTTTTGAAAAGCTCGCCTAGGGGAAAGCGAGGCGAGGCGAACTTATCTCGCCTGAACCCTAGGCGAACTTATCTCGCCTAACCCTAGGCGAAGCGAACGTGAACGAAGCGAGAAAAAGCGAAAAAATGAAGAAGCAAAAAAAGCGAACGCTTTATTATAAGAGGCGATTCTGCTTCCCTTTTTTTTTTTTTTTTTTTTTTTTCCTGATTACAGGTTAGTAGTCTTTTTTATTTTTTAATCACTAATGACGTTTTTTTTAGACTATCGCTGGTCTATTTTTTTTTTCTAATAAATAATGTTTCGAACAAAACACATTCATTTTTTTCTTGTATTGCTGAATTCATTTAGAATATTTGTGGGATGTGGGAGTCAGGCGACTGCATGACAAAATTATGATCAAGAAAGGAAACAGGAGTATCAGGAATGAGGGTAAATAATAGAGTCTTCTACAAAGAAGTTTCTCTGATATGTCTTGATTATACTTTTTTCTTTTCTTATATATATACAAATGGTACCAAAAAGTTGTCTATACTTATACCATGTTTAATTATTTTAGTACATGTTAAATGTGCCTCTGTTCTGTTTTTTTTATTCAGTACATAATTACATATGAAATTATTTACAATTGATTCTGCTCCTGTCATGATCATTGTGCTTCTGTTTTTTTTTAGCTCATTCTGCTTCTATTTTTTTTTGTTGATTCTGTTGCTGTTTCGGTTTTGTTGTCCTGTGCTGCTTCTGTTTTTTTTATCCTCATTCTACTTCTTTTTTTTTTATTGTTGATTCTGCTGCTGTCCTGATTCTGCTTCTTTTGTTGTCCTACCCTGTCAATATGAAAATGTATATAATTGTTAGTAT